CTAAACACATCACAAACGTCTAAACACGTCGCAAATGTCTAAATGAGTCGCAATCAGCTAAACACATCACAAACGTCTAAACACGTCGCAAATGTCTAAATGAGTCGCAATCAGCTAAACACATCACAAACGTCTAAACACGTCGCAAATGTCTAAATGAGTCGCAATCAGCTAAACACATCACAAACGTCTAAACACGTCGCAAATGTCTAAATGAGTCGCAATCAGCTAAACACAACGCAAATGTCTAAATGAGTCGCAAACAGCTAAACACAACGCAAATGTCTAAATGAGTCGCAATCAGCTAAACACAACGCAAATGTCTAAATGAGTCGCAAACAGCTACACATCGCAAATGTCTAAACACGTCGCAAACAGCTAAACACCTCGCAAATGTCTAAATGAGTCGCAATCAGCTAAACAACGCAAATGTCTAAATGAGTTGCAATCAGCTAAACAACGCAAATGTCTAAATGAGTCACGAACAGCTAAACACATAGTAAATGTCTAAACACGTCGCAAACAGCTAAACATGTCGCAAATGTCTAAATGAGTCGCAATCAGCTAAACACAACGCAAATGTCTAAATGAGTCGCGAACAGCTAAACACATTGCGAATGTCTAAACGAGTCGCAAACAGCTAAACACTTCGCAAATGTCTAAATGAGTCGCAAACAGCTAAACACGTCGCAAATGTCTAAATGAGTCGCAATCAGCTAAACACAACGCAAATGTCTAAATGAGTCGCGAACAGCTATACACATCACAAATGTCTAAATGAGTCGCAAACAGCTAAACACATCGCAAATGTCTAAATGAGTCGCGAACAGCTAAACATATCGCAAATGGCTAAACACATGGTACAGTAAATGGCTTAAAGTACACCAACCAGCTATATGCACTGCAAATGGCTAAATGCACCACACACAGACACACGCCAAACAGCTAAACGTCGCAAATGGCTAAACACATGGTACAGTAAATGGCTTAAAGTATACCAACCAGCTATATGCACTGCAAATGGCTAAATGCACCACAGACAGATAGACACACGCCAAACAGCTAAACGTGCCGCAAAAGGCTAAGGAC